TGCATCACACTGCTTCCATGCACACACCTCTTCATCCAACAAGCCAGTACCTTTGTGTTTAAAAGTGTGTGCGTATGCGTGGGTGTGTAAGGTGGACTGTGGGAGATGTTGCGCCGCCTTGTTGAGGAAGAATAATAATAAGTGAGGTGGAAAGATTGCTTTCTAATGCACCCACATGCCTAGCTAGTATCCGTTTCTGGCCAGAGAGAAGCATTTCCGTTGAAACTAATCATTATTTTTTTATTCTGCAGTGGGATGAGGACCTACCCTTCACTCCACCCGCCTGGACTCGTGTCATCGTCCCACTATCACCTCCACCGCTGGCGAAACGGCTACCACTGCGTCGTGCCTTCCTTGATTGGCTACTGCAATCCTCCGCTCGTCGATCCGACCAACGCCTTGACTCCCACCGCTTTCGCTCACGTCTGTCCGCTGTTGCCATGCATCTAGCTGTGGCGTGGGGCCTTCCACCTGGACTCATACACGCCCTCCACGTGGTCGCGCTCTACACAGCCTGGTCAGACCGAGAGGCAGAGGCTGAGTTGGTCTCCTCCTCTTTCTCCTCCACCCCATTCTCAGTTGGTAACGCCGGTGCCAGTCTCTTCCACCTCCTCGCCAGCCGCATTTGTTTTCTCGACGAACAGATGTCAGGTCGACTGCTGACGGACGCATCGAAGAGCTTGCGCGCCGTGTTAGCGTGCCTGTGGGAGGTGGGTCAGATGCTCTCATCTATCTCGTCATTTGCTATTCCCTTCAACTTATTCACTGGCCTACTTTTTCTCCTCCTTCTTCTTACCCCTGTAGAAGGGCTCGTCGGGAGTGGATGCGGTGTCTCGAGAAGATGCACCATCAATGGCGGAGCAGATGTTGAGTGCCAGGAGGCTAGTGGACTTCCTCGTGGAGCATCTTCCCCAACAGTCAAATCAACATGCCATGGCGATGGAGATTGGTGAACTGCTACACACTATTGACCAATTGCCCCAATAAAGTAATCACCATGACCTCATGCTGACTTGTTTTTTATTACTACGAACGGTGTAGATTTGAATGGTGATCAATGGTGCATCCACACTGCCCTCGGTTGTACGAAAAACTGTCTTGGCAGTTAAGTCTTTCGTGGGAACGGTTTTGATGTCAATGATCTCCACCTCCGCAGCTCCTGCTAGAGCGGCGCAGTCTACAAGACAAGAGGGCCGGTATGGTTTTTGAATGATTTAACCATGGACGGGTATGGCTAAGTGGAGAACACAAGAGCCACACCGAGTCTCTCCTCCACTGATCCACGAACCAGCATCATAGAAGCGGAGAAGTCGGTACTAGTAACGCCGACAAAGACGCATCTCTTGGTGGACAGTCGTATAGCGTACGATGAACAGAGTACTTGAGCGTAAACCAATGATATGGATGAAGGGCGTTCCTGCAAAGATTTGCACCGAAGAGGGCACTCGCGATCGTGTCAAAATATGCATATGCACTCGTAGCTTGAGTAATTTTACACTTCGCTTGGAATCTGGCTGACTTCAAACTGTGAAATAAGTAATGAGGACTTTATGAAGTGGAAAATTCTTACCGAAAGGTAATCCTAGGTAAAGCATACATCATGGAGGAGTCTAATGAACTTATCCTCGGCGATGACTCCCTCGGAGAGGGTCGTGCATGTGCCTCGTCCTATTAGAGAAAATGTAGAGAATCATCCAAGTCCCCCCTGCATTATCACAGACTTTGCACAATGCACAATGGCAGTCTGTTCTTGCCACGGAATTGGAGTGCAAGATCGGAGAGTCAAACACTGGATCCTTCCACTGGTGGAAGTGGTGGGATAAGGCAGCACAGAGTTGGTCTAACTCAGCGTTCTGTGAAATAGCTGCATCCATAGCGGATAAACAGAGGTTTGAGGGGCTAGAGAATATTCCCGATCCTCTGTGCCTGCCACGAAATCTCTTTTAGACCGTCGTAGATGCATGTATTCCACGAAACACCGAATAATACGATGACTCCGCTACTCTTATAACAACTCATCATCGACCACGAAGAGCAGACACTCGACAGAGCATTCATTCATCTGTTGCTTCCAGAAAGAGGGTGAACACTATGAAGAGGCGAAGACGCTTTCCGTAGCTCATC